AATATCTTCATGCAATATGTAACAAAGAATATTTTATCTTCGAACAGCTTATAAGGAACTTATCTTCTTTTCCGACTTTTCTTATTTATTATGCGTACGTCACTTTGACGCGATTAGTAACAAACATGTTTTTACATTTTTGTCGACATTATCACATTTATGCAATATTCTCGGTCGGATATACACATAATATTCAGTAGAATTAATGTAAAAGCATTTTACTTATCGAAATTTGCAATTAATTAGAGAGAGCTTTCTAGATAAAAACTTTTTTGTTAAAATCGATTGATGCATATAGATAGAATATTTTAGATTTTTTTATTAGATAATCCACATTATGTCAACAAAAACGAAATATTATTTGTAAATTCAATTTGAGACTAATATGAGCGAATGTGTTTATCGCACTTGCGATAAATTGACAGTTTCTTTTCAAATCATCCCTGGTCAAAATTTTTCTTATAATTTTTGTACGAATTGGAACATTTTTCAGAAATACTCTGAAATATTCGGAAAGTTTACATCTCTCAGAATTTTTCATACAAGTGAATTCTGAAATATTCTGAGATCTCTTATTCCATAATTAAAAAAAAATGGTTTTAAATGGTTTAGATTTTATAACATTTCATCAGAAATGATACTTATAAAAAATCTTAGAAAATTTACAATATTTCAATTAACATTCATGAAAAACTCTGAGAAAAAAATGTAGCTTTTCTGAAAAGTGTTCTAATTCGTATAAAAAAATGTGAGAAAGTTATAAAATTATATAGAAATTCTGAAAAATTCTGAGAAAAGTTTTCACCAGGGATGTTAATAAGAAATTCAGGAACATCGTCGGAAAAGTATTATCAATTTTATTGATGTTTTTTTCTTATTCGCAATAGTTAGGATATCAATTTTTTTCTATTAGTAGGAAACTTGTCAAACGAGTCTCGCACTGAGTGTTTTCCACAAGACAAACGCACAAGTGGCGAGGCTGGCTGTACATAGATACAAATTACGATCACTTTCAATAACTTAAATGCCATTTGAACTTTTTATAGCCCCATGTCTATCCCCGTGTTCTCCTCTATTTGATATTACTTATTTAAATACACACTGAGGATGCATTCTTCTCTATCTGATTTTTAAATTTAATTAGAATTTTTTAAAATCGTATAAA